AATTATAAATTATTACTAAATAGGATAAAATGTTAATGCATAATTATTATTAATCCTAGAAGCCTAATTTGTCTTAGAGATACATAAAGCCTTAACATACGCCTCAGAGGCGTGCATATATAAATAACCATTTGTGCGCTAAAATATACTAATTATTTGTCTCATTAATCAACGGTAACATATTTTTTTTTAACTATCTTATATTTTTTTACTATTAATGACTTTTTCTTAGCACAGTTATTAAATTAAATCAGCCTTACAAAGAGTATCTTAAAGATTAGAGCAGAGCAGAGACTTTTTGCACCTAAAACACACTAATATAGACATTTTTTTTGTAACAGCAAAAAGCGCACTAAATACGTCTTTTGGGCTCTAGTTCTCCCTCCTGAACTTCATTACTTGAATCAGTAGATTTTACTAGAATTTGGTTAATTATTTCTCGTAAACATCTTTTCAAAGTCGGCGCTTCAAGTCTTATCTCCATCCAAGACTTGATCAAATCATGTTCAAGATGCCGTAGAATACAGCCATTGGCCATCCATTGGTTTTGCGACTGCACGACATTGAAGAGCACATTTGATCAAAGGAATCTACTCCTCCTTTTGACTTGTTATAGAAATGAATCATGTCTGGCTTGCCACTTGAATCATTAATCACCGCATTTTCAACACAAGATGATAAGAGATACATCATCTTTGCAGACTTTAGTTTATAAGATACAAGCGTCAGGGGGCCATCGAAGCAAAACATAGAACTACCAACAGGACGAGATTTAGAGTTCTTACATTGTTCTGGGATTTCCCGCTTGTTTGATCGAATAGTGCCAACTATAGTCAACTTGTACGGCTGTTGAAGTTTAACCGCTTTGTTCGTGATATATTTATCTGGAACAACGCCAATATAACCACAAAACACAAAAAACTAACAATCGCATGATCACACAATCAAAGTTACACAAAGCCTAAACATACGCCTCGAAGGCGTACTACATGTCAAGAAGTCGAAATTGGCGGGACTTACCTTAGCGATACAGGTACCATAGGCACACTCCCGGCGGTCACTGAGTTGGCTAAGCAGGAAGAACCACTAACTTCACCCGTTAGAAAAATATAGACAATTTCCGAATGCGTTTATGCCTCGTAGGCGTAGATAAGGCTTCTAGGGTTAAACAAAATAAAAATGTCCATGATTAGTGAAATCGTAGTGGTTCATTTGTCAAATTTATAATCTAGGATTATAAATTTATAATCTTTAACAGTACAAATTGTTTTTAATGTAAGAAATATATTGCCCTCTCCTATCACTGTAAGCGAAGATCTATAATGGCTTTGTCCTTGAAAACCACCAGACAATGAAGCCCGGTGTAAAACTACCAGACAATGAAGCCGTATATGTAAAAGAGAAGACTTGCTGTATTGCTAAACATCAACACGGCAAGTATCCTCAGCATGCTCATAAGCAACACAGAAAATCTCATCTGCATACCTAAAAAAAATTTCCCACCCTTACTCGTAGGGTACTTAGCATAGTTGGTATATGTTACTCATTTTTGTTGGTATGGGTACAGTATCATTGACTGTTTTTTTTTCCTTAAATATTGTAAAGGATTAAATCGGCATCCGGTATATTTTTTTATCGATAATCCCAATCGATAAACGTCGTCAATCACTAACTGTAAAATTGGTAACTAAATAGTGACGTTTACTGCATAGCAGAGGGCGCTTATTACAATAAAAATAAATGTTCTAGAACTATCTACTAGAAATAATAAAATTTAAAGATTATTCTGTAAATATATGTTATATTTACGATAATAAACCGAAATCAGGTTCATTTTTTGCTCCATATTGTGACTTACAATATCTTAATGCACAACCGGGCATATTTTCTTTAAAAATATTTTTTAAATATATGAAACGAATGCGTCTTGACTTTTTGACGATATCACTAAGACTAAATGACAAAAATCGGAGATATATCCTATAGGACATAAGTTACAGACGACAATTTTTCTGCTGATGTCCGGTCTATTACTACTACTACTTAAATTTCTTTGCCTAATCATTACCACTCTGCTTACAAATTTTTGAAAATTTTGTATTTTGTTAAAAATTACGTCAATTTGTGACATCTCATTATCATGTCTTTAGAAAAAATGTAGAGATAAGCATAAGGGTTTCATATAAGTTGTCAATGTTTAATATGCTCACAGCATCAATAGATGGCACAACAATATAATTGTATTACGCTATAATTGTTCTATTCCCTAAGCTTTATAGGTGTTGGATGATTTCGAATAAATGAGTCAAAATGAAGATAAAAGTGCAGTGTTTAATTTAATAGTGTAGAAGTATAGTGAATTGAGTTAGTCGACATAATTTATAACTATTTCTTTCTTTTCTTAATATAAAACTAAAAATTATACATATTTATTATGTAGGTATATATAATAAATATACTCATATACGTTACGCAAGTTATGCATGCCAGCTATGACAGCATTGAAAATTACTAGATATTGGATTTTAAAAATCTTGACTAAAATTATAAAGTAAAACTTATTTTTAAATTGTTCTGAAAATATGTTGAAATTTTGCTGGCAGATGCATAAAATCATTGATTTACATTTCAATGTACTAATACACGGAAAACAAAAGCTGTTCGCTGCAATCAGATTCAGTCGGTAGTATGGCAGAGTCCGGAGGGATTAAGTTTCAATCGCGTCGCTGACCGCGCCCGTGGTTAATGCATACCAAACAGGGCAGTCCCTTGCAAACATTACCGAAACTACTGATTAGATTCTTTAAATACCTTCTGTCTGGTTTGATATCAATTAAAATTATTTTTGAATTTTACGTAATAGATTTTAAAAATCTATAAAATAAAAAAGGCTATTGCATTGTTTTCTACCGACTTCAAAAAGATGGACCTACTCAATTCAACTGTATGCTTTTTTATGTTTTACCTCATAACTTTTTCCTGGGTAAACCGATTTCAATGATTCCTTGGTTTTTACAAACATATCGTGAATTTTTGCGCAATATCTAAGAACACACTCCGGCATATTTTATCAAGATATTTTTTTAAATCAACAGATCACGTGACAACTCTACAAGCGCCTAGCGAGTGACCAAAGACTACAATGTTATATAGGAAACGAGTGACGTAATAAAGTGCGGTGACATTGCTGCAGTTGAATGGAACAGCGCAACTTAGTGCAGTGTCGCCTCTAGTACGTATCGTCAATGTATCGTCAGCAGTTAACCCTTGTCGGTCCCTACAACATTTGTTCTAGCACCACCAAACTATCACTAACCCTTGCCGAGTAACAACTCTTTAAATTTAGTATAGCGGCTATCTTGTTAACCGCCATTTTGATTTTTTTTACCACCGCTAAAATTTGCCCAGGGTGTAAGCCGACATTAGTTAAGAGGCGACACTGCTAAGTCTTACCGTTTAGTCGGATAGTAGTACACCATCTCCTCGAAGAGCTGAACGCGGACGTCATTTTATTCGTATTCTTCTCAGTAAACCCTTTCATTTGATATTCATATCATAGGGGTGAATAAAAAACCATAGTTCACCATCTTTGGAAGTCCACCATATTGGATTTAGAGTGACACCGTTTTATTTTTGTATGCATCTCAGCAAACCTTTTCATTTGATATCCATATCATGGGGGCGAAAAAAAAGCAGTTTGCTTTCTTTGGTTATCCACTATATTAGTTTTAGAGTAACGTTATTTTATTTTCGTATTTTTCTTAGCAAACCCTTTCATTTGATACCCATATCATGCGAGTCCATAGAAAATAACTAGACTGCCATCTTGAATCGTCCGCCATATTGAATGTCGTATGACGTCACTTAGCTAACCATGAATCGCAATCAAAATGAAACATGTATGCAAAATTTCAGCTCAATCGGTTGAGGATAACAGGATAACTAACAAACAAACATTGCAAGTTAAATAAAAGCTTTTCAAAAGACATTGTATTGCTCCCAAGAGATGCTTATTCCGTTAGTATTCGATTAAAAACCAGTCCCAAAATAAAAACTAATTTGTAAAATGTGTTCATAACACGATTTAAAAAATAATAAGCTTTTTGTTTGTTATAAGCCTTACACGGTTTCATTATGGTATCTCTGCATCGTACACGTTTAAATAACGATTAAGTATATGGTTTCTTTATCGAACTAATTAGTATAATTCGCGTTTCTGTCTTCACGTAACCCGTAAACCGTTTGAATAAAATGAATTTGTTTTTGCAATAATTTTATACATGTAGATTTACATTGGTCCCAAAAAGCAATGAACTCTGTCACGTCGCCTTAACCATGTGACTATATGGCTTTATCAAATATTTCTTTGCATGAAATTTGTATAAATACCGATAATTGTTTGATTACTGGAATAGTTAATGATAGCCATTTCTTATCTTATGATTAATAAATATGAAATACAAAGGATTCAATTAAGGACCATACAGACAGAATTTAAAACGAATATAATAAGTAAAGAGATAAAACACAAATAAATAGAGAATCTCGACACTCCATGAATACTTTGCTTTGTTCAGTTTCAATTGTATTAATTCTATTCAAAAACATTATTTTCATTCATAAAACAATTATTAGACTACCTAAAGTATTTATAAAAAAAACTGTGAAATTTCTGCATTAATTTAAGTATTCTAATGATTAAATCTTTAACCTCTAATTATACATAAAGTGAGGGAAAACTGACTTGACTTCTTGAACAGTCAAAGGAAAAGAAAATGCATTTAATTTTACAACCTTTTACTTCAAATCAACTTGTCCTTTATGGATCATGTCTTTAATTGAACTTAAGTGTTTAGCTAATTACAAGTCAGAGGTGTTGTTTCAACTTTCGCTTTATAAGAAAAGGCTTTGTCTTTTACGCTGAAAATATAAACATTTGTGATAAGTGTAAACGTTTCGTCTCGAAATATAAAGTTAAGCCTGAAGAACTAGCCGTGATAATGGTTGTATATAAGCAAATAGACTGCTTTAATATTAACATGAAATTTTGGAAATTCCTTGGTATCTATCCTTATAACGAAATATCTCCTCATTACAATTTCTATTCCAAAATGTTCATCTTTATTTTTGTCATCATATACGATGTACTTTTAACACTCAATTTTTTTTTCTTACCAAATAATTTGGATGCTTTTATCGGAGAAATGTTATTTTATTTTACTGTGTTATCGGTTAATTCAAAAGTTTTGACATTTTTGTTTATGCGAAAAAAAATTGTGAAACTTTTAGACATTTTGGAAAGCAAAATTTTACTACCGGTAACTAACAACGGATTGACAATATTAAGAAACGCTAAAAATCTTAATATAAGATACTGGAAAATCTTAGCAGCTATTTCGCTAACTTGTAATTTAATACATCTTCTCTCTTCGCTTATAAAACATTTGCTCTTATCAGTTCAATTAGAATTGCCAGTAAGCAGTTATTCTTTTTTATCGGATGAAATTAGAGAAAGACTTATTTATCTATTCTATTTCTATCAAGGCGTTGGTATACATTTTCATATGCTTTATAACCTCAATATTGATTCATTTTTACCGGGAATAATGATACTGCTGATAGCTCAGTTAGAAATTCTTAAAGATATACTGACAAATGTTTGTAATAGCTTGAACTTCGACCACAAATATGACGAAGCAGGCGATTTAAAAAACGATGCGGAAAATAAATTTATTATGAAACTCAATCAAACTATTGCGCATTATGATGAAGTTTCCAGGTAAGTATGAAATTAATATTATATAAATCATTTATCATTACACATTTGGTAACATGAGTATTTTATTTTTATTTATATATGTAATTAGCTACATATACAATACATATATGTATCTATACACATAAAATGCTTTATCCTGAATGACTGACTAACGGATCAACGCATAGCCTAAACCGCTGATCTTTGAGACCTGCAACTTGGAGGGTGTGTTCACATGACGTAGGCATCTGTTAAGAAAGGAATTTCCAAAATTCTACACCTAAGGAGGTAAAAAACGGGGGCAAAGTTTGTATGGGACAACGTGATTCCTTGGTACTTACTACAAATTTTGCATAAACATTTTTTAACAGAATTGATGGAAGACGTGTTACGTATTTTATTGAAACTCATCGCCTAACGAGGTTAAAAAGGGTTTTTTTATAGAATAAGGGTAACAAACGAGCACACAGTCCACCTGATGGTAAGTGATTACTGTAGCCCATAGACATCTACATCTATCTTCGTTTGCGAATTAAAATGCAGATGCTTTGCGATGCGTGCGTCACCCGTGAGGACTAAGATAGAATGCCTCTTTACCAAAAATTGGATCTTCGGTTCTCTACACTCACCATACGAAACACAGCAGCATTAAGCTGCTATTTTATCAGAAGCATTAAGATGGTATTCTGTGAGAGCGTGGTCCTTGCTCGGTCGAGCCGACCTATTCGTACTATTAATATAGCTGCAGCATGGCTCTACCACGTAAAAGAAAGGGGTCGAAAGTGATTTGCATAGAAGTTGATATCAATACAAGGAGTATGTGCTTTTAATTTAAATTACATTATATTTTGACACATATTTGAAAACTCAAAACGTTGAACTCACATAAAAGCTTGGTGCAATGCAATCATAAACTTAGAATAAACTGGCGTATATATTCTATAAATACAATACTCTTTACAATTGGAATGTTAAATATAAAAGAATATTTAACTCAGATTAGAATTCGAAATTTAAATTTTAACTATTCTTGGATTATTTGAATGAAAAATTTACCTTAAGATGGAAGCTCCAGGAATTTGCAGGTCAGGGTCAGGTTGTATATTTAACAAAATATAATTCGCGACCGTAGCGATTATGTGTTTTTGAACACAAAAACACTAAAGCGGCGGGACTTAGGCAACTTCAATACAGCTTGTATTGACGAAGCGATCGAGCGGAAGCAAGGCTCCAAAGTCTTTGCCAGAGATCTGTCTGCCAGAAAGAGCCAACTGTCAAAGCTGAAGACCGAGTGTGGCAGCATCGTTTCCGTCACCTGAGATTTTGAGTGAGATTGAGAGGTTCTATGGGCAGCTGTACACGTCATCGTTGGAGCCACACGCAAATGTGAGTAACGATCCAAGAGCGAGTCTTATCCGACACTATTCCGAAGATATCCCGGACATCAGTCTGAGCGAGATTAGAATGGCTCTGCAGCACCTTAAAAACGACAAGGCCCCAGGCGAGGATGGAATTACAGCGGAGCTTCTGAAAGCGGGTGGAAGACCGGTACTTGAAGTCCTTCAGAAGCTCTTTAATTCCGTCCTCCATGGTGGTATTACACCGGCGGCGTGGAGCAGAAGTGCGGTGGTCTTGTTCTTCAAGAAAGGTGACAACGCTCTTCTGAAGAACTACAGACCGATTTCCCTTCTGAGCCGCTTCTATGTGCTATTTTCGAGAGTCATTACGAATCGTCTCGCGCGCAGACTTGACGACTTCCAGCCTCCCGAACAAGCTGGTTTCCGAAAGGGCTTTAGCACCATAGACCACATACATACGCTTCGGCAAATTGTACAGAAGTCCGAAGAGTACAATTTGCCACTATGTGTAGCGTATGTGGACTATGAGATAGCCTTTGATTCCGTCGAAATATGGGCGGTGCTGCAGTCCCTTCAGCGGTGCCAGACATAGTGGCAAATTGTACTCTTCGGACTTCTGTACAATTTGCCGAAGCGACAGTCAACTGTCGGTATATCGAAGTGCTGAAGTGTTTGTACAGTAGAGCTACGATGGCTATCCGAGTACAGAACCAGAGTACGAAACCTATCCAATTGCAGAGAGATGTAAGACAGCGTGATGTTATATCCCCGAAACTCTTCACCGCTGCATTGGAAGACGTTTTCAAGCTTCTGGACTGGAAAGGATACGGTATTAACATCAATGGCGAGTACATCACTCACCTTCGATTTGCCGACGATATAGTCCTTATGGCAGAATCGCTGGAGGACGTAAGCACCATGCTCAATGACTTCAATAGTGTCTCCCAACGAATAGGTCTTAGGATGAACATGGAAAAAACAAAGATCATGTTTAATGTCCATGTCACACCTATGCCGGTAGTTGTTGGGAGCACTAAGCTCGAAGTTGTTGACGAGTATGTTTACCTGGGACAAATAGTCCTACTAGGTAAGTCCAACTTCGACCGATAGGTCAATCGACGGATTCAACTCGGCTGGGCAGCGTTCGGGAAACTACGACACATCTTCTCGTCAGACATACCTTAAAACCTTAAAACGAAATTGTACAACCAGTGCGTGTTGCCAGTGATGACTTACGGATCTGAGACGTGGTCCTTCACTGCTGGCCGTATGAGGGAACTCAAGGTCGCTCAGCGAGCTATGGAGAGGGCTATGCTCGGGGTTTCTCTGCGTGATAAACTTAGAAATGAGTATATCCGCAGTAAAACCAGAGTAACCGAGAGAGCCCAACGGATTAGTATGCTGAAGTGGCAGTGGGCCGGCCATATAGCTCGAAGAACCGACAACCGATGGGGAAGAAAGATTCTTGAGTGGCAGCTTCGTACCGGTAGGTGAAGTGTAGGGTGACCGCCCACGAGATGGAGTGACGACCTGGTAAGACATGCAGGAAGTCGATGGATGCAGGTGGCTCAGGACCGTGCTTTGTGGCATTTCTTGGGGGATGCCTGTATGATCAGCAGTGGACTTATGAAAGGCTGTAATGATGAAGATGATGATGAATATAAATACACCAAAATTATGCAATGGAACCAGATTGTCAGTGAAAACCGCAATGTAAGCGAGGCAACTATACTGACAGGTTATTCTCGAGGAGAGTCTGCATTTATTCCTAGGATTTCCCTAACACCATCAAATTACTCCTTCGAATTCAAGAAAGTTCAGTTTCCTATCAAAGTCTGCTTGGCCATAAACATAAACAAAGCTCAAGGTCAAACTCTTAAGATAGCGGGAGTAGACTTGAGAGAAAACTGCTTCTTACACGGTCAGTTGTATGTGGCATGTTAAAGAGTAAGCGCACAGAGTAGCCTGGTGATTCTAGCAAGCGAAGGAAAAACAAAAAATATTGTTTACAAAGAAATACTGCGTAGGTGTAGTATTTCGATTTCGTTGTAAAAAGATAGAGACCGAGCTTCGTGTTCATAAAATATAAGGTAGGTCACTCAATAAGTTTTGAGCAAAATTATTTAAAAATAGAACTCCATAAGCCAATTGCTCAATATTAAAAAAAATAAAACAAAGTTCTATTAATTTTCCTGCGCTTTTAATTTATAACGATGGATCTTAACCGTTAACATTTGCGCGCTATGATATATTATGATTTTAAATTTGGTTTAACCGAACAATTAAGTGTACTACGGTTACAATCAACATTAAGGGACTGAGCTCCATCACTTGCAATAATTTTAGGTGGTTTGCTGAATTCAAAAGGGGTAAAATTAATCTTAAAGATGACCAAAGAACAGGGGCCCCGCAAACAACAGTAACGGCAAAAAATGTATGGACTACTGAAATGTTGGTGCGAGAAGACCCACGAATCACATATACGGGCATCGAAAAGATTGTAGGCATTAGTTCGAGGAGCATTGATACTATCCTACATCAACATCTTGGAGTGAGGAAGCTTTGATGTCGATGGATCCCTCGTTTGCTCTCCGAAAGCGAAAAACAGACTCGTGTGGATTGGTGCCATGAAATGCGCCTTACGTTTTCAAAACGGGACATCTGGGCGTGTTTCAAAAATCGTTATTGGTGACGAGACATGAATCTATCAACATGATCTGGAAAATAAAAGGCAATCATCAGTATTGGTCTACTCAGAAGGACAGTTACCGACAAAACTGCAAAGACCTCGCAACGTCGACAAAAAAATGGTAGCTAGTTTTTTATCGCGGAGCGGACATTTGTCGACTTCAATGATGGAAAATTGTACCTCAGTCAACTCTGAATGGTATACTACAGTTGTATTACCCAAAGCTTTTCAAGCTGCGCGGGAGAGAAGACCAAAAACCGGGCTGCGGGGAATCATGCTGCATCACGATAACGCCTCTTCACATACCTCCCCTAGAACAAAAACCTTTATTGAGGAATCTGGTTACCCACCCTACAGCCCTGACTTAGCTCCTTATGATTTCTTTTTGTTCCCAAGAGTCAAAGAAAAAATAAAAGGCAAGTTTTTTTCAAGCGCTGAAGAAGCCATCGCTGCCTACGAAAAAGCGATTTCCGACCTGTCAGATCAAGACTGGCAAGTGTTTTCAGAGTTGGTTTAGGCGAATATAACTTTGTAAAGAGCATGATGGAGAATATTTTGAAAAGATGTAAAATAAATATTAATAGTATCTAGAATACTTTTTGTATATCTCAAAACTTATTGAGTGACCTACGTAATAACGTAAAAACCAATTAAAAATCCTATTAAAACCATTTTCTTCTACGTGGAGAAAGTCGCGGGCAAAGGTCGTGTATAAAATAATAAGTATAGGCTCACTTAATATCTGAGACATTACTTGGTCAACCAATCAACTTTTGGGTGATTCGGAAATTAAGTAAAGTGTGTTTAAAAGACTCAGATATAAAAGAATACAAAGAATAAAGTAAATATAAATAAATCAAATGAATACCAGGTTTACTAAACATATTGTATTTTATTGCAATATGTTAAAGATATAAACAATGCAAATATTTAAATTTTAATTTTAATTACTAATAACCTATTGATGAGAAGATTACGCCAATTAACCTAAAAATATTCTCGAACCTTCCTCTCGAAAAACAATAATTAGCCGTGATAATTTTCTGTTTGTTTTCAATTTCGTGGGTTCCATTGAAATGCGTAGGAAACTTATTTAATTTTATGAACTCTACAAGTTAAAAAGATAAAACAAGACATTAGAATCAGTAATAATAATTATTACTCTATACACTTCTAACAATACAAATATTATGTCTGTGTGTATTTGCTGTAAATATCCAGAATACATACCGTCGTCATACTGCTATGCAACAGACTAAACACGCGTATGAAAATTTCATCTGGAATATAATTAAACGTACAGTTATATGTTTATATGCTATATAGAATGTAGTAAATTTCATTTTATTAGAGAAAATCATGATGTTTTCGTTTCAGATTTTGTTATCTCATTCAACAAATTTTCAGCGTGACTTTGTTTGTTCAATTTAGTGTGGCATCATGTATAATTTGCGTGTGTTTGTTCAGATTTACTCTGGTAAGTAATTTAATTTAATTTCGCAAGTAATTTAAATGACTAAAGTCTTTTAATTTTTCATACTATATTACATTAAGTGATATTTTTTACTCACAAACATTCTAAAAGTCCATTAGATGGTACTACTCCAACAAACTTCAGACAAAGAAGGCGATAGATACATTGTCACTTGCCACTTGCGAAGAATGAAACGCCTCACAGTATGTAATTACACTAGCTCTCTTATCCTTCACATTGTAATACAACAGTGAGTACACTACTGCTTGGCGAAAGAAATAAATTAGAGAGAGGGTAGCTCTGGCAAACTCCTACTTAAAAAAGAAGTCCTACCACTTAACGCAACAGTAAACAATGCAGCACTACGTTACTTATTATTTTATGATAAAAAAAATATGTTATCTTTTTGATTAATCAGCCAGGCCTAAATGCATTAACCATCCGACCCTTTTGATAACTTGTTATAACGGATGTAGGAATAATATGTATAGTAGGAATGTATTTAAAAACTAATTAAGTAAATATATTTGGTTGTTATAACTTATTGCAGAGCATGTAAATCAACACTTAAAATTTGTTGATGCCGGCAGGGAATGAACCCGGGTTCTGAAATTTAAAGCGAGCACTTAGGCCCTGAGCTACAGTAACAGTTACAAACGAAAATATAGCGAATAGTCCATTTATACCTCGAAAGATTGAACTTAATGGAAACTAATGATATTTCACGCATTCGAAATAAACTGTTCCTTTGTTTTTTCCTTTGCAATGCGTACGACAAGAGAGTGAAATAATTTGCCAGCGTCCTTTTATCCGATTACAATCTCGGTGACTTCAAAGCAATAGTGAATGGATTTTGTAAGTGCGATTTTGCGACGATCCAGGGCTTCATTACCGCTTACTACCAGATGGAATCCTGGTTAAGCAATAACTAATAATAAGTAACAAGCCCAATGGTTAAAATAGTAAGTCAAAAAACCCGACTTACTAAAAAGAGAAAGAATTTATACCCTATCTCAATTTCACAACTAAAACGTATCTTACGATACTCCTATGTTAAATTACATCAAGTCGTTTAGGCTACAGAGCGTGCCCAAGAATACATATACACGTGGAAAAAACATTAACCTCTTTCTGGAGCAGTCGGGTAAAACAAACGAGATTAAAAAGCTAATCGTAATCGATGCTCTAAATTTTCTTCGCTTCCGAGTGCGTTACCCTTAAACAACAGTTATTTATAAGATATATTAATTAATTTAAATCTGTACTTATTATTAGCATTACTTGAAAATTTTGCCTATACTCACCACCCCGCTGGTTAAGGAGGTTGATGAGCGAAAACCCTATAGCCAAGTTCACACTGGTAATGCTGCAACCTATCACCAGTCAGTTATTTTTATTTACAGTGGTCGGCAGTGGAGCCATAGACCGCATTCGCCGCTAGGGCCGGTAAGGTGCTTACGGACGCACATTTTTTTTACACCCTTGACCTTTTCGTGGCGAGTTCAAGGAGGAAACTGAAGACTGAGTAATAGAGCGCACCCTGTGCTCTGGTGCGTCATTCCTGAAGAAGAAGAGGGAAGATTGTCCTCTCCCGGGAAGAGGCTAACAAGATGCGACTGGTAGCCTCGCTTGCGGATGTGACGAAAGCGTTTCCGTGATCCTGCCGATATATGTTCATCAGGACATCATGGGGTTTTAGTCGGTGCAAGTCCGACAAAACCCTTGCCTTCGCGATTTTGGCATATGCAGACACTTTCTCTATGAAATTAAAGAAAACGTATACCACCTTACATCTCCATGTAATTACAAGAACACTGTTAATTTTAAATTTGTTTTAGCCCGCTACTAATGAATATTATGTTTTTCTTGCTACATACATGTTCATTATGGTTATTCAAATCTTGGTGCCATGCTGGATTGGAACTCAAATTATGGATAAGGTAAAATTAAATATAAATACTACAGAACAAATCACATTTAGTAATAGTTTTCAAATATAGTAAAGTAAAGTTGCAGCCTATTTACGTCCCACTGCTGGGCACAGGCCTCCTCTCATTTCTGAGAGGGTTTTAGGGCAAGGAGATGTCCACCACGCTGCCCCAATGCGTGTTGGCGAACTTCACGTCATCGAAATATTTTTTTTTATTTCTGAGACATGCAGGTTTCCTCACGATGTTTTCCTTCAGCGCCGAGCACGAGGTAAATCAGCACTTAAAATTGCAATTAACAATTTCATTGGTGCCGGCGGGGATCGAACCCGGGTTGCTCGAGTACTGTGAAGCTTACAGCGAGCGCTAACCATCTGAGTTACCACGACTTTTTTTCAAATATAGTGAAATCTTTTTAAATACTTTGCAGAGCTGTCTTCTGTCCCAAGCTATATACAACTGTGACTGGATACCTAGGCCACGTGAGTTCAAAAGTAGTTTACGTCTGTTTGTGGTGAGAGCCAACCGGCCACTATCAATAACGGCATTAAAAATGTTTCCGCTGTCACTCGCCACTTTTACATCGGTGTGTTTTACTGAAAAATATATTTCTGAGTCTATATTGGTTTTTTTATCGCTATATATCAAAATATTTTTTTTTTACTTTTCAGATAATGAATACTGCTTATTCATTTTTTACGCTACTAAGACACATGCAAGCAAAAGAAAATTAGATTTGATTTTATCACGTTTTTATTAAGTCACTTTCTTGTTATATTTCTTATAAAAAAAAGTCCCGCTGGGTTTCTTGCTGGTTCTTCCCAGGACAGAGGTTTTTTTCGAACCAGTGGTAAAGTAAAAAATTACTTTCAATAAGAATTACACATGTGATATTATTATACTATATTGAATAAAAAATTATTCTATTCTATTCTATTCTATTCTATTCTGTCGTTCCGGGTGGGATCTTGCAACTCAAATTTCAAGAGCTTCCCGATTAGCTAATGACTTGAAATTTTGAACATAGCTCAGAATGTGATGACAATGTAGGAATATGAAACTAAGAAAAAAACGTGGTATATTAAATTTTTAGTACAAAATTTAAAAAGTCACTTAATAACAAGTGACTTTATTTTATTTCAATTGAATTGAAAATTAGGGTGAACTAAATGATTGCTATTTTTCAACTTTAAGTAAATATTTATTTATATGTTCACCAATACATTATTATTCGGTACATTTTTGGAAAATATTATAAAAAACAACAGCTTTAGCTATACTCGTATAGCTTACGACTATTATTAACTCTAAGCTTACCTTAAATAATCTTCATTAGATCATACTATATCTTGAATATTATGTTATCTTGATTTAAGACACACAGTATAAAATAAGAAAAATATTAAGTAATGTTTGTTTGGTGCTATCGGGCGATGAGCTTGACCAGTTTAGCAAGTAAAGTTTACTCGAAGGTTTTGACACGTAGGATGCAAGAGAAATCGGAAAGATTTCTATGGGAGGCACAATGCGGATTTAGACCTGGAAGAGGATGCACGGATCAAATGTTTTCTCTCCGCATGATCACGGAAAAGCTTCTGGTTGCTAACCAGAGGATTTTCTGTGCTTTTGTGGATCTTGAGAAAGCATTTGATAAGGCTGTAAGGAAGAAAATGTGGGAACTGTTGCCGGAGTATGGTGTGGATGGTCGATTGCTAAGGGCTGTGCAGTCTCTTTACTGTGACTGTAAAGCCTGTGTGCGGGTAGGGCATGACCTGTCACCTATGATTAGCGTCCAAACGGGCGTAAAACAGGGTTGTGTCATATCTTCCTGGCTGTTCATACTGTATCTCGACAGCTGTTTACAGAAGCTGAAAGATAGCTGTTCGGGTGTGAAATTGGGTGCCATAAAAGTAAATTGTCTGCTGTATGCTGATGATGCAGTGCTTATTGCACCATCAGAGACAGAACTGCAGGCATTAGTCACGTGTATGAAAGAGGAATGTGAAATTAAAGGTCTCCGTTTGAATGCTAATAAAACTAAGGTACTGGTATTTGAAAGGGACGAAGAGAGAACGAAGTGTGAAATATGGGTAAATCAGGAATGTCTAGAACAGGTAAATGAAATTGTATACTTGGGGAGTGCTTTTAGCCGGGATGGAAGATGTGATTTAGATGTGGACAGGCGTGTCGTTGCCGGGAACAAAGTCAATGGTGCCCTGACTGCGTTAGTCAAAAGGCAAGGCGTAGTGAAGAGTCCACACCTTACAATACATAACGCAGTGTTGGTACCGACTTTGTTATATGGCAGCGAAACCTGGGTATGCCAGAAGAAGCATAAAAGCAAGTTGAATGCAGTGGAGATGCGATCTCTTCGTAAAATGTGCGGCGTTACCATGGCCGACCGAAAGCAAAACGAAGAGATTCGCAATATGGCAGGTTTGAAAGATGACCTTATCACAAAAATTGACAAGGGCGTGCTTCGGTAGTTTGGGCACGTTGAGCGAATGAGTGAAGACCGAATGGTGAAGAAAATATATAGCGCGAAAGTTAATATTAAAAGGTGTCGAGGTAGCCCGAGACTAACTTTCGAAGACCATGTGAGCAAATTGCTCGAAGAGGGTACAGTCAAGAGTACTCGGATACCTAGACGTGCATGTATGAAGAAGATAATGAATCTGAAAGAAGCGAAAGAGGTATGTAAGGATCGTGACACTTGGCGATCTGTTCTCTCTGGCTACCCCGTCAGGGATTGTGCGTGAAGATAAGTAAGTAAGTAAGTAATGTTTGTTTACACATTTTTACACTGTCTAATATTCGCTTACGAATAACTTTTATTTAACACATATCAGTTAATTATATGAATCGTGTAGACACAATTAGTGGTCAAAATAATCTTCATATTCATAATGATTCCTTACACATCATACATAGGATATCTTCTAATGAATGAGGAGTATTTAAATTTTGAAAACATCACATAATAATTTACTGATAAAATGTGTGCGGAACAAAAGCAGAACACAGTAGAGTAGTAACTGAATAACATTTTTTCCTGTCCCATATCGGATAAGACTAAAAAGGTGTATGATTTTTCAATTTTTATTGTATATTGAGTGTTTACGTTTTATGTGCTATTTGATTCAGGATCCAATTTCTGCTATCTTAAATGAAAGATAATATCAATCATACAATGAGACAATCCACATTTTTGGAAGCTTGAAGTTGTTGGAAGGATTTGTTGTGAACAGTCAATAGAACATCATTATTTATACATATTAATTATGTTATATACTTCTTTTCTTCCCCATATCTTTCCTCTCCATCTCCTTTTTCACCTTAGTGTGGCGGCGTAAGAAAAGTCAACTCAAAATAATAAAAGCTGCTGTTGTCAGCAGCAGTTTTTTACTACCCAACTAGCTGTGCCCGCGGCGTAGTCCGCGTATATAGGTTTTACTTAAAGAATTTGACGTTTAGGATAGGATAACGATTTATATCATTACTGTATGAATAAGTGGTAACAAAATAAATCGATATGCTTAAAGTTCTAAGTCGTTTATGATAGAGCTTCAGTGTAAACGACGTTAGACGTAGACTTAGCCGGGTCGTACAGAAAAAGGTTGCGGGGACTAATAACGCGGGAAAAAGCAACCATATAGTTGGCCATGTGCAAAACAATCAGTACTGATGTCCACTCCTGCAACGCGTAAAGTTTGACCTTGCGCTTTATTTACGATCGTCGCATAACACACGCCGAGTGGGAAACACGCTTAAAATAGGGATGTTCGATGATCATAGATATTAAAAATTAAAACTTCAATGTTTTAACATCGATGTTAACACGTCAAACATCGAAACATCGACGTCAATGAACCCATAATCGATAATTGGGAACTTGCAAACAATGCGAAACCGCGAAATCAATATCAACTAAATCTTGTATCTGCTCTGAAGATTAAAAGTTTTGAATAATTCAGAATTCCTGAACGCATCGCTAACCTAAAAAAAATGTCATTATAGTGTGTCAAACTTAATTGTCAAGTGTCACCTGTAATGTCACAATGGTCACTGCTTTCGCTTTATTTTGTAGTGTCGTTGACGGTTGTCGCATAATAACTATTCTACGTAAATTGATATTCAAGTTAATTGTTACTTTTCCCTTGCTGTGTATACCCACATAATTTTAAAACAATGTGTAAGTATCTACACATATACAAAAAACATCGATAATGGTCAACATCGATGTTTTGAGTAGGTTATACATCGAACATCGATGTTGAGCTATCGATGCCAACATCGATGTCATCATCGATGTTTCTGCAACATCGATCATCCCTATCTTAAAACTGAAAGGAAAGTTATTAAGCAAGAGGGATTCTGGGTATAAAACAATATCAGGAAATTTTATTGCAATTTTGCTACTTTTAGTCGAGTTTTGTTGCATAACTTTGGTGTACATATCTTTTTTCTGGTTTTTGTTTCTGATGATGTTTGTGATGTTAGCCTTAGGACATTTACTTAGGACATAAATTTTTTCAGTGAGTCTCAATACGATTCACCGGCGAAAAATCTTAATACCGCAATTCAAAAAAGGCATATTTTTATTACTATTTCAGATATTTTATGGCGCCATTGAACAAATTTGAACTTACATTTCAAAATAATTATCATAACTTTCGATAGAATTAACTAATTTTAATAAAACAAAGATTAAATGAACTCGATAATACGCTTTATGATTTTCTTAAGGATTTCAATGAAAAAAAGATGTTTACTCAAAACGTCATGGGTTCATAAACAAACAGACAGACCGTCAGACAGTACAATTCTAAAAATTATAAAAAATGTATTTATTTAATGATTTTCAATCCCCATAATGATTTTAGTCACAAATTACTATACAATGTACAGAAACAGACAACATGTTATCACCATTTTTATTATATGTATAGATTTAAAGAGAGATGGCGCTGTTAACATCAATTCTAAAAATAAGAGATTAATTGACGCGATTGATACAATAAAAAACATAAAAGAACTTACACATCAGTGCCTGCATAGTCATCTAAAAAGGAAGTTTGATCCTCGCCGAAAAACGAAATTGTTAATAGCTCTTTTAAAATTTGATTTACCACATAGAGTTCTCGGCGGTAAAAAATAAATGAGATTGTCAACACGCAGTAGGGCAGCGTGTAATATAAAGATTAGAAGCAAATATGAAACTTATCTACAGGAAAACACCTTAACCTGCCTTTTTTTTTAATTTTTTGTCAACAGATTTTTTTTTGTAATTTGTATCACATTTGTGCAACATCACCATCTATCGATGAAATTGGTTAACTATTGTACTTTAGATTTAGATAATAAGGTTAATATATTTTTGTATATATTTATTACGTTCTTTATGTAATACTTTTGTTAACTGCGTTTTAGATATAACTATATCATTATAGAACATTATTTTACATCATTCAATTATGACTCATATAACGCCACTAATGAACAAATTCGTACCTATACTTAGTACCCATACTTCAGAATATTTGTCATAACTTTTGATGGAATGAACTGATTTTAATGAAATAAAGACTAAATATTACCCAAAGATACACTTTATAATTTCCTTAACGATTCTTATGATAGAAATTAGTACTTTATACGTGATACGTTAACAAACAAACAGACAGACAGACAGACAGACAGACAGACAGAAAATTCTAAAATGGTAGAAATGTAT